GATGCATTTCCCAGCGCCTATAGGGATTTATGTGCTTCCTTAGCATTTGTCGGCATGCACTGCCGTCATTGCGGCCGCCGAACTTTTCTGTGCGCGCGAACCAAGTTGAAGTTGCTCTGGAAGGTGTTTTTGAACATGGGCCACCCGAATAGGCAACAATATTCGGGTCGTTGGATGCTTTTCCCTACGCCTATAGGGATCCATGCGCTTTCCTAGCATCTGTGGGCAGGCACGGCCGTCATCGCGGGCGCCGAAATTTTCTGTGCGCGCGAACCAATCTGAAGTTGCTCTGGAAGGTGTATTTGAACTTGGGCCACCCGAATATGCAACAACATTCAGGTTGTTCCGTGCGCTTCCTTAGCATTTGTCAGCAGGCACGGCCGTCATCGCGGGCGCCGAACTTTTCTGTGTGCGCGAACCAAGCTGAAGTTGCTCTGGATGGTGTTTTTGAACATGGGCCACCTGAATATGCAACAGCATTTGGGTTGTTGAATGCTTTTCCCTGCGCTTATAGGGATCCATGCGCTTCCTTAGCATTTGTCGGCAGGCACGGCCGTTTTCGCAACCGCCAAACTTTTCCGTGCGCGCGAACCAAGCTGACGTTGCCCTGGAAGGTGTTTTTGAACATGGCCCACCCGAATATGCAACAACATTTGGGTCGTTGGATGCCTGCGCCTATAGGGATCCACGCGCTTCTTTAGCATTTGTCGGCAGGCACGGCCGTCATTGCGGGCGCCGAACTTTTTCGTGCGCGCGAACCAAGCTGAAGTTGCTCTGGAAGGTGTATTTGAACATGGGTCACCCGAATATGCAACAACATTCGGGTCGTCGGGTGCTTTTCCCTGTGCTTATAGGGATCCATGCGCTTCCTTAGCATTTGTGGGCAGGCACGGCCGTCATCGCGGGCGCCGAACTTTTCCGTGCGCGCGAACCAAGCTGAAGTTGCGTTGGAAGGTGTATTTGAACATGGGCCACCCGAATATGCAACATTCGGGTCGTTGGATGCTTTTCCCTGCGTCTATAGGGATCCATGCACTTCCTTAGCATTTGTCGGCAGGCACGGCCGTCATTGGGGCCGCCGAACTTTTCCGTGCGCGCGAACCAAGCTGAAGTTGCTCTGGAAGGTGTTTTTGAACATGGACCACCCGAATAGGCAACAATATTCCGGTCGTTGGATGCTTTTCCCTACGCCTATAGTGATCCATGCGCTTTCTTAGCATCTGTGGGCAGGCACGGCCGTCATCGCGGGCGCCGAACTTTTCTGAATGCGCGAACCAAGCTAAAGTTGCTCTGGATGGTGTTTTTGAACATGTGCCACCCGAATATGCAACAACATTCGGGTTGTTCCGTGCGCTTCCTTAGCATTTGTCGGCAGGCACGGCCGTCATCGCGGGCGCCGAACTTTTCTGTGTGCGCGAACCAAGCTAAAGTTGCTCTGGATGGTGTTTTTGAACATGTGCCACCCGAATATGCAACAACATTCGGGTCGTTGAATGCTTCTCCCTGCGCTTATAGGGATCCATGCGCTTCCTTAGCATTTGTGGGCAGGCACGGCCGTTTTCGCGGCCGCCGAACCTTTCTGTGCACGCGAACCAAGCTGAAGTTGCCTTGGAAGGTGTTTTTGAACATGGCCCACCCGAATATGCAACAACATTTGGGTCGTTGGATGCTTTTCCCTGCGCCTATAGGGATCCACGTGCTTCTTTAGCATTTGTCGGCAGGCACGGCCGTCATTGCGGCCGCCGAACTTTTTCGTGCGCGCGAACCAAGCTGAAGTTGCTCTGGAAAGTGTATTTGAACATGGGTCACCCGAATATGCAACAACATTCTGGTCGTTCGATGCTTTTCCCTGTGCCTATAGGGATCCATGCGCTTTCCTAGCATTTCTGGGCAGGCATGGCCGTCATCGTGGCCGCCGATTTTTTCCATGCGCGCGAACCAAGCTGAAGTTGCTCTGGAAGGTGTATTTGAACATGGGCCACCCGAATATGCATCAACATTTGGGTCATTGGGTGCTTTTCCCTGTGCATATAAGGATCCATGCGCTTCCTTAGCATTTGTGGGCAGGCACGGCCGTCATCGCGTGCGCCGAACTTTTCCGTGCGCGCGAACCAAGCTGACGTTGCTCTGGAAGGTATTCTTGAACATGGGTTACCGGAATATGCAACAACATTCGGGTCGTTGGATGCTTTTCCCTACGCCTATAGAGATCCATGCGCTTCCTTAGCATCTGTGGGCAGGCCCGGCCGTCATCGCAGGCGCCAAACTTTTTTGTGCGTGCGAACCAATCTGAAGTTGCTCTGGAAGGTGTATTTGAATATGGGCCACCCGAATATGCAACAACATTCGGGTTGTTCCGTGCGCTTTCTTAGCATTTGTCGGCAGGCACGGCCGTCATCGCGGGCGCCAAACTTTTCTGTGCGCGCGAACCAAGCTGAAGTTGCTCTGGAAGGTGTTCTTGAACATGGGCCACCCAAATATGCAACAACATTCGGGTGGTTGGAGGCTTTTCCCTGAGCCTATAGGGATCCATGCGCTTCCTTAGAATTTGTGGGCAGGCACGGCCGTCATCGCGGGCGCCGAACTTTTCCGTGCGCGCGAACCAAGCTGACGTTGCCCTGGATGGTGTTTTTGAACATGGGCCACCCAGATATGCAACAACATTCGGGTCGTTGGATGCTTTTCCCTGCGCCTATAGGGATCCATGCGCTTCCTTAGCATTTGTCGGCAGGCACGGCCGTCATCGCGGCCGCCAAACTTTTCCGTGCGCGCGAACCAAGCTGAAGTTGCCCTGGATGGTGTTTTTGAACATGGGCCACCCAGATATGCAACAACATTCGGGTCGTTGGATGCTTTTCCCTGCGCCTATAGGGATCCATGCGCTTCCATAGCATTTGTCGGCAGGCACGGCCATCATCGCGGCCGCCAAACTTTTCCGTGCGCGCGAACCAAGCTGAAGTTGCTCTCAAGGTGTTCTTGAACATGGGTTACCCGAATATGCAACAACATTCGGGTCGTTGGATGCTTTTCTCTACGCCTGTAGAGATCCATGCGCTTCCTTAGCATCTGTGGGCACGCAAGGCCGTCATCGCGGGCGCCGAACTTTTTTGTGCGTGCGAACCAATCTGAAGTTGCTCCGGAAGGTGTATTTGAACATGGGCCACCCGAATATGCAACAACATTTGGGTTGTTCCGTGGGTTTCCTTAGCATTTGTTGGCAGGCACGGCCGTCATCGCGGGCGCCGAACTTTTCTGTGTGCGCGAACCAAGCTGAAGTTGCTATGAAAGGTGTTCTTGAACATGGGCCACCCGAATATGCAACAACATTCGGGTGGTTGGATGTTTTTCCCTGCGCCTATAGGGATCCATGCGCTTCCTTCGCATTTGTGGGCAGGCACGGCCGCCATCGTGCGAACCGAACTTTTTCGTGCGCGCGAACCAAGCTAAAGTTTCTCTGGAAGGTGTTCTTGAACATGGGTCACCCGAATAGGCAACAATATTCGGGTCGTTGGATGCTTTTCCCTACGCCTATAGGGATCCATGCGCTTCCTTAGCATCTGTGGGCAGGCACGGCGATCACCGCGGGCGCCGAACTTTTCTGTGCGCGCGAACCAATCTGAAGTTGCTCTCGAAGGTGTATTTGAACATGGGCCACTCGAATATGCAACAACATTCAGGTTGTTCCGTGCGCTTCCTTAGCATTTGTCGGCAGGCACGGCCGTCATCGCCGTCGCCGAACATTTCTGTGTGCGCGAACCAAGCTGAAGTTGCTCTGGATGGTGTTTTTGAACATGGGCCACCCGAATAGGCAACAATATTCGGGTGGTTGGATGCTTTTCCCTACACCTATAGGGATCCATGCGGTTCCTTAGCATCTGTGGGCAGGCACGGCCGTCATCGCGGGCGCCAAAATTTTCTTTGCGCGCGAACCAATCTGAAGTTGCTCTGGATGGATTTTTTGAACATGGGCCACCCAAATATGCAACAACATTCGGGTCGTTGGATGCTTTTTTTCTGTGCCTATAGGGATCCATGCGCTTCTTTAGTATTTGTCGGCAGGCACGGCCGTTTTCGCGGCTGCCGAACTTTTTCGTGCGCGCGAACCAAGCTAAAGTTGCCCTGGAAGGTGTTTTTGAACATGGCCCACCCAAATATGCAACAACATTCGGGTCGTAAGTGCTTTTCCCTGCGCCTATAGGGATCCACGCGCTTGCCTGAGTATTTGTCGGAATGCACGGCCGTCATCGCGGCCGCCGAAATTTTCCGTGTGCGCGAACCAAGCTGAAGTTGCCCTGGAAGGTGTATTTGAGCATAGGCCACCCGAATATGCAACAACATTCGGGTCGTCAGGTGCTTTTCCCAGTGCCTATAGGGATCCATGCGCTTCCTTAGCATTTGTGGGCAGGCACGGCCGTCATCGCGGGCGTCGAACTTTTCCATGCGCGCGAACCAAGCTGAAGTTGCTCTGGAAGGTGTTCTTGAACATGGGTTACCCGAATATGCAACAACATTCGGGTCGTCGGGTGCTTTTCCCTGCGCTTATAGGGATCCATGCGCCTCCTTAGCATTTGTCGGCAAGCACGGCCGTCATTGCGGGCGCCGAACTTTTCCGTGCGCGCGAACCAAGTTGAAGTTGCTCTAGAAGGTGTTCTTGAACATGGGTTACCCAAATATACATCATTTGGGTCGTTGGAAGCTTTTCCCTGCGCCTATAGGGATCCATGCACTTCCTTAGCATTTGTCGGCAGGCACGGCCGTCATCGCGGGCGCCAAACTTTTCCGTGCGCGCGAACCAAGCTGAAGTTGCTTTGGAAGGTGTATTTGAACATGGGCCACCCGAATATGCAACAACATTTGGGTCGTTGGATGTTTTTCTCTACGCCTATAGGAATCCATGCGATTCCTTAGCATTTGTCAGCAGGCACGGCCGTCATCGCGGACGCCGAACTTTTCGGTGCGCGCGAACCAATCTGAAGTTGATCTGGAAGGTATATTTGAACATGGGCACTCGATGCTTTTCCCTACGCTCCCCGCCCCATTCTCCCGCTTTCCATCACCCCGCCCCATTCTCCCGCTTTCCATCACCCCGCCCCATTCTCCCTCCTTCCATCACCCCGCCCCATTCTCCCGCTTTCCATCACCCCGCCCCATTCTCCCTCCTTCCATCACCCCGCCCCATTCTCCCGCTTTCCATCACCCCGCCCCATTCTCCCGCTTTCTATCACCCCGCCCCATTCTCCCGCTTTCCATCACCCCGCCCCATTCTCCCGCTTTCCATCACCCCGCCCCATTCTCCCTCCTTCCATCACCCCGCCCCATTCTCCCGCTTTCCATCACCCCGCCCCATTCTCCCGCTTTCCATCACCCCGCCTCATTCTCCCGCTTTCCATCACCCCGCCCCATTCTCCCGCTTTCCATCACCCCGCCCCATTCTCCCGCTTTCCATCACCCCACCCCATTCTCCCGCTTTCCATCACCCAGCCCCATTCTCCCGCTTTCAATCACCCCGCCCCATTCTCCCGCTTTCCATCACCCCGCCCCATTCTCCCGCTTTCCATCACCCCGCCCCATTCTCCCTCCTTCCATCAACCCGCCCCGTTCACCCGCTTTCCATCACCCCGCCCCATTCTCCCGCTTTCTATCGCCCCGCCCCATTCTCCCTCCTTCCATCACACCGCCCCATTCTCCCGCTTTCCATCACCCCGCCCCATTCTCCCTCCTTCCATCACCCCGCCTCATTCTCCCGCTTTCCATCACCCCGCCCCATTCTCCCGCTTTCCATCACCCCGCCCCATTCTTCCTCCTTCCATCACCCCGCCCCATTCTCCCGCCTTCCATCACCCCGCCCCATTCTCCCGCCCTCCATCACCCCGCCCCATTCTCCCGCCTTCCATCACCCCGTCCCATTCTCCCGCTTTCCATCACCCCGCCCCATTCTCCCTCCTTCCATCAACCCGCCCCGTTCTCCCGCTTTCCATCACCCCGCCCCATTCTCCCGCTTTCTATCGCCCCGCCCCATTCTCCCTCCTTCCATCACCCCGCCCCATTCTCCTGCTTTCCATCACCCCGCCCCATTCTCCCGCTTTCCATCACCCCGCCCCATTCTCCCGCTTTCCAGCACCCCGCCCCATTCTCCCACTTTTCATCACCCCGCCCCATTCTCCCGCTTTCCTTCACCCCGCCCCATTCTCCCGCTTTCCATCACCCCACCCCATTCTCCTGCTTTCCATCACCCAGCCCCATTCTCCCGCTTTCCATCACCCCACCCCATTCTCCCGCTTTCCATCACCCAGCCCCATTCTCCCGCTTTCGATGACCCCGCCCCATTCTCCCGCTTTCCATCACCCCGCCCCATTCTCCCGCTTTCCATGACCCCGCCCCATTCTCCCGCTTTCCATCACCCCGCCCCATTCTCCCGCTTTCCATCACCACGCCCCATTCTCCCTCCTTCCATCACCCCGCCCCATTCTCCCGCTTTCCATCACCCCGCCCCATTCTCCCGCTTTCCATCACCCCGCCCCATTCTCCCGCTTTTCATCACCCCGCCCCATTCTCCCGCTTTCCTTCACCCCGCCCCATTCTCCCGCTTTCCATCACCCCACCCCATTCTCCTGCTTTCCATCACCCAGCCTCATTCTCCCGCTTTCCATCACCCCACCCCATTCTCCCGCTTTCCATCACCCAGCCCCATTCTCCCGCTTTCGATGACCCCGCCCCATTCTCCCGCTTTCCATCACCCCGCCCCATTCTCCCGCTTTCCATGACCCCGCCCCATTCTCCCGCTTTCCATCACCCCGCCCCATTCTCCCGCTTTCCATCACCACGCCCCATTCTCCCTCCTTCCATCACCCCGCCCCATTCTCCCGCTTTCCATCACCCCGCCCCATTCTCCTGCTTTCCATCACCCCGCCCCATTCTCCCGCTTTCCATCACCCCGCCCCATTCTCCTGCTTTCCATCACCCCGCCCCATTCTCCCGCTTTCAATCACCCCGCCCCATTCTCCCGCTTTCCATCACCCCGCCCCATTCTCCCGCTTTCCATCACCCCGCCCCATTCTCCCTCCTTCCATCAACCCGCCCCGTTCACCCGCTTTCCATCACCCCGCCCCATTCTCCCGCTTTCTATCGCCCCGCCCCATTCTCCCTCCTTCCATCACACCGCCCCATTCTCCCGCTTTCCATCACCCCGCCCCATTCTCCCTCCTTCCATCACCCCGCCTCATTCTCCCGCTTTCCATCACCCCGCCCCATTCTCCCGCTTTCCATCACCCCGCCCCATTCTTCCTCCTTCCATCACCCCGCCCCATTCTCCCGCCTTCCATCACCCCGCCCCATTCTCCCGCCCTCCATCACCCCGCCCCATTCTCCCGCCTTCCATCACCCCCGTCCCATTCTCCCGCTTTCCATCACCCCGCCCCATTCTCCCTCCTTCCATCAACCCGCCCCGTTCTCCCGCTTTCCATCACCCCGCCCCATTCTCCCGCTTTCTATCGCCCCGCCCCATTCTCCCTCCTTCCATCACCCTGCCCCATTCTCCTGCTTTCCATCACCCCGCCCCATTCTCCCGCTTTCCATCACCCCGCCTCATTCTCCCGCTTTCCAGCACCCCGCCCCATTCTCCCGCTTTTCATCACCCCGCCCCATTCTCCCGCTTTCCTTCACCCCGCCCCATTCTCCCGCTTTCCATCACCCCACCCCATTCTCCTGCTTTCCATCACCCAGCCCCATTCTCCCGCTTTCCATCACCCCACCCCATTCTCCCGCTTTCCATCACCCAGCCCCATTCTCCCGCTTTCGATGACCCCGCCCCATTCTCCCGCTTTCCATCACCCCGCCCCATTCTCCCGCTTTCCATGACCCCGCCCCATTCTCCCGCTTTCCATCACCCCGCCCCATTCTCCCGCTTTCCATCACCACGCCCCATTCTCCCTCCTTCCATCACCCCGCCCCATTCTCCCGCTTTCCATCACCCCGCCCCATTCTCCCGCTTTCCATCACCCCGCCCCATTCTCCCGCTTTTCATCACCCCGCCCCATTCTCCCGCTTTCCTTCACCCCGCCCCATTCTCCCGCTTTCCATCACCCCACCCCATTCTCCTGCTTTCCATCACCCAGCCTCATTCTCCCGCTTTCCATCACCCCACCCCATTCTCCCGCTTTCCATCACCCAGCCCCATTCTCCCGCTTTCGATGACCCCGCCCCATTCTCCCGCTTTCCATCACCCCGCCCCATTCTCCCGCTTTCCATGACCCCGCCCCATTCTCCCGCTTTCCATCACCCCGCCCCATTCTCCCGCTTTCCATCACCACGCCCCATTCTCCCTCCTTCCATCACCCCGCCCCATTCTCCCGCTTTCCATCACCCCGCCCCATTCTCCTGCTTTCCATCACCCCGCCCCATTCTCCCGCTTTCCATCACCCCGCCCCATTCTCCCACTTTCCATCACCCCGCCCCATTCTCCCGCTTTCCATCATCCCGCCCCATTCTCCCACTTTCCATCATCCCGCCCCATTCTCCCGCTTTCCATCACCCCGCCCCATTCTCCCGCTTTCCATCACCCCGCCCCATTCTCCCGCTTTGCGTTGCCCCACCCCATTCTCCCGCTTTCCATCACCCCGCCCCATTCTCCCTCCCATCACCCCGCCCCATTCTCCCGCTTTCCATCACCCCGCCCCATTCTCCCGCTGTCCATCACCCGGCCCCATTCTCCCGCTTTCCATCACCCCGCCCCATTCTCCCGCTTTCCATCATCCCGCCCCATTCTCCCGCTTTCCATCACCCCGCCCCATTCTCCCTCCTTCCATCACCCCGCCCCATTCTCCCGCTTTCCATCACCCCGCCCCATTCTCCCGCTTTCCATCACCCCGCCCCATTCACCCGCTTTCCATCACCCCTCCCCATTCTCCCTCCTTCCATCACCCCGCCCCATTCTCCCGCTTTCCATCACCCCACCCCATTCTCCCGCTTTCCATCACCCCGCCTCATTCTCCCGCTTTCCATCACCCCGCCCCATTCTCCCGCTTTTTATCACCCCGCCCCATTCTCCCGCTTTCCATCACCCCGCCCCATTCTCCTGCTTTCCATCACCACGCCCCATTCTCCCTCCTTCCATCACCCCGCCCCATTCTCCCGCTTTCCATCACCCCGCCCCATTCTCCCGCTTTCCATCACCGGGCTTTATTCTCCCGCTTTCCATCACCCTGCCCCATTCTCCCGCTTTCCATCACCCCGCCCCATTCTCCCGCTTTCCATCACCCCGCCCCATTCTCCCGCTTTCCATCACCACGCCCCATTCTCCCTCCTTCCATCACCCCGCCCCATTCTCCCGCTTTCCATCACCCCGCCCCATTCTCCTGCTTTCCATCACCCCGCCCTATTCTCCCGCTTTCCATCACCCCGCCCCATTCTCCCACTTTCCATCACCCCGCCCCATTCTCCCGCTTTCCATCATCCCGCCCCATTCTCCCACTTTCCATCATCCCGCCCCATTCTCCCGCTTTCCATCACCCCGCCCCATTCTCCCGCTTTCCATCACCCCGCCCCATTCTCCCGCTTTGCGTTGCCCCACCCCATTCTCCCGCTTTCCATCACCCCGCCCCATTCTCACTCCCATCACCCCGCCCCATTCTCCCGCTTTCCATCACCCCGCCCCATTCTCCCGCTGTCCATCACCCGGCCCCATTCTCCCGCTTTCCATCACCCCGCCCCATTCTCCCGCTTTCCATCATCCCGCCCCATTCTCCCGCTTTCCATCACCCCGCCCCATTCTCCCTCCTTCCATCACCCCGCCCCATTCTCCCGCTTTCCATCACCCCGCCCCATTCTCCCGCTTTCCATCACCCCGCCCCATTCACCCACTTTCCATCACCCCTCCCCATTCTCCCTCCTTCCATCACCCCGCCCCATTCTCCCGCTTTCCATCACCCCACCCCATTCTCCCGCTTTCCATCACCCCGCCTCATTCTCCCGCTTTCCATCACCCCGCCCCATTCTCCCGCTTTTATCACCCCGCCCCATTCTCCCGCTTTCCATCACCCCGCCCCATTCTCCTGCTTTCCATCACCACGCCCCATTCTCCCTCCTTCCATCACCCCGCCCCATTCTCCCGCTTTCCATCACCCCGCCCCATTCTCCCGCTTTCCATCACCGGGCTTTATTCTCCCGCTTTCCATCACCCTGCCCCATTCTCCCGCTTTCCATCACCCCGCCCCATTCTCCCGCTTTCCATCCCCGCCCCATTCTTCCTCTTTCCATCACCCCGCCCCATTCTCCAGCTTTCCATCACCCCGCCCCATTCTCCGGCTTTCCATCACCCCGCCCCATTCTCCCGCTTTCCATCAACCCGCCCCATTCTCCCGATTTCCATCACCCTGCCCCATTCTCCCGCTTTCCATCACCACGCCCCATTCTCCCGCTTTCCATCACCCCGCCCTATTCTCCCGCTTTCCATCACCCCGCCCCATTCTCCCTCCTTCCATCACCCCGCCCCATTCTCCCGCTTTCCATCACCCCGCCCCATTCTCCCGCTTTCCATCACCCCGCCCCATTCTCCCGCTTTCCATCACCCCGCCCCATTCTCCGCTTTCCATCACCCCGCCCCATTCTCCCACTTTCCATCACCCCGCCCCATTCTCCCGCTTTCCATCACCCGCCCCATTCTCCCGCTTTCCATCACCCCGCCCCATTCTCCCGCTTTCCATCACCCCGCCCCATTCTCCCGCTTTCCATCACCCCCGCCCCATTCTCCCTCTTTCCATCACACCGCCCCATTCTCCCGCTTTCCATCACCCCGCCCATTCTCCCGCTTTCCATCACCCCACCCCATTCTCCCGCTTTCCATCACCCCGCCCCATTCTCCCGCCTTCCATCACCCCGCCCCATTCTCCCGCTTTCCATCACCCGCCCCATTCTCCCGCTTTCCATCACCCGCGCCCATTCTCCCGCTATCCATCACCCCGCCCCATTCTCCCGCTTTCCATCACCCCGCCCCATTCTCCCTCCTTCCATCACCCCGCCCCATTCTCCCGCTTTCCATCACCCCGCCCCATTTTCCCGCTTTCCAACACCACGCCCCATTCACCCGTTTCCATCACCCCGCCCCATTCTCCCTCTTTCCATCACCCCGCCCCATTCTCCCGCTTTCCATCACTCCGCCCCATTCTCCCGCTTTCCACCACCCCGCCCCATTCTCCCGCTTTCCATCACCCGCCCCATTCTCCCGCTTTCCATCACCCCGCCCCATTCTCCCGCTTTCCATCACCCCGCCCCATTCTCCCGCTTTCCATCACCCGCCCCATTCTCCCGATTTCCATCACCCCGCCCCATTCTCCCGCTTTCCATCACCCCGCCCCATTCTCCCTCCTTCCATCACCCCGCCCCATTCTCCCGCTTTCCATCACCCCGCCCCATTCTCC